CTACCTTTCCGGCAGTGTTACGTTTAAGCCACCCATCTTGCCAATAGTCTATGAGGGTTGAAATTCCTTTTAATAGATCAGGAAATTATAACTCATAGCCTAAGACAATACCAAGTAAGTACTTATGATAAGTGTCAAAGCAGGCCAGCAATTGCCTGTGTCAGTGACATGTAGGCAAAGAGAATAATGGACATTCACTGTCTTTATACCCTTGACACATGAATCAAAACATCAGCCCTATGGAACAGGTGCTATCATTATGCCCATTTTCCAGCGACATGGCACAGTTTGCAGAGTTTGAATGTAATCTGCCTACTTCAAGTCTAAAGCCCATGTAGTTCCTGGTTGCACGTAACTTAGAGTCATTGCGTTGCCCCCATGGAGCAGATCTAATTCCTCGGGATGCTGGTAAATATTACGTGCGGCTGATTCTGATTTAGGTTTTTGTATGTAGAAGAAAAGCCCAAGAAGAGCTACATCACAAATCTCAGAGAAGACTCTTTGAAGATAGCAACTCATTTGGCTCTTGCTAAAAACCAAGCCAAAGGGAGGGAGGAGGGAACCACATATGCTTAGCAATCTGAATATATTTTCTGGTGAAAAGTACTGAATGGGTTATTGAAGTGCCTCTGCAGTCGAGCACAAGGCCTTCCCTCCCTCATCACTGTCATTCTGCTCCCCAGCAGCAATGTCTATACTTGCCTTATAATTCACGACTCCGTTTACTTCAGCCTGTTTTTGTTTGTTTGTGGGTTCATTTGTTTTTTTAATGGAGGATTTCTCATAGTTCCAGTTTGCTTCTGACCATCCTTTATTGAAGTGTACTTTTGAGCCCTTTATCTTTTCTTCCATTTCTACCTCCAAACTACTGGAATTTCAGGTGTGTGTCATCAGCTGGACTGCCCATTCCTCTAGAGCACCGATGTCCTTCTGTTGATATAAATACTAAGATGAACTCAAACTTTGTGGCTTTTTAGCAAACACTGCAAGTTCAAGGGAGTCCTTTTCAGGTTCTTCTGGAGTAAAGATCTTTTTTTTTTTTCTACTTCTTCGGGCACATCATCTCGACAATATTTCCTCTGTGGTCATTTTACTCTAATTATCATACAGCTAACTTTGGTTTCCAAATGTTTCTGGTCCACATTCTCAGGAATATAAAGTCTTGAGAATGAGTCAACCCTTCACAGAGCTGTCCCCAGTGACAGATATTAACTCCATTCCTAGTGTTCTAAGACCTTCCTTTCTTCATTGATCTCTTCTGCAATTATTGTTCTTTTCCTGGGAATATGGTTCATTTTGTTAATGTATACTCAATTGCTTCTCCTTTGAGTAAAAAAATAATAATTCTTCCCCTTTTAACACTATGCCCAATGTAGACATTTAGTGCATGAGAATATTCAATGGAAATGAGCCAAGAAACTATGAAATCAGATTTGGAAAAATTCGTCATTTTGGGGGTAAAAATGATTATATCTTTTCTGATTCAAGAAGGAAGGATGTTGATAAAGTCATCACAACATGAATTAATCAGATATTAAAACATGGATAAAGCATTTCTCCCAGATGAAACAAATTATGCAAGTTTTGCTTTCTGCTCCTAGCAGGCACAGTTCTAACTGGTCTTCTGAAACTGAAAGAGACAGTGACCCCCTTCCAAGGAAAATACACCCACACATCATTTTAAAAGTATACCTTCTGCTTTGCTCCCTCTTTTTTCTCCATTCTAGGATCCACCTATCCAACAAATTTATATGTTACTAAGAACTCTGTGTACTCTAAAGCCTCTTGAAGGAAAGTAGGTCTTTCATATTTATTTGTGAACCTACAAATTGTAAAAAAAAATCTGATGGCTAGCAAGACATGCTCTGTGTTTATTATTCATGATTGACATTTTTCTGCAGGTATTTTTTTTCATTTAGAATAACATCTTCAAGAATCACAATGATTTTTTTTATGTGTTATCCACAAGATACTTTGCAGAGAAAGCATGAAGAGATGGGAACTGCATTATATATTTAAAGGACACTGTGAAAAAATCTTTAAAGCATGTATAATTATATGTGACATATATAAGGAGTCTAATTACACTCAAGTATATAGTGTTATGGAAATCAATTATTGAAAGTTGGAAATATGCATCTAGTAATCCTGCTTTTGCTGTCAGGCACTTTGATTGCTTCTCTTTGATTGTTTAAAAATGGAATTGCTACTTTAGTCTTTAAAGGTTGTATACATTTTACACATGCACACACATGTTATTATTTCTTCCATTTAAACTTATTCAAAAGCTTAAAAGAATCAATGTTAAAGTAAAAAAAAAAAACTTTCTCCTTTGAGTGCTAACAAATGGACTAAAGGAACTAACGAAAATGTACCTGGTATAGCACCACAAGCATAGCTAATGTCATTTCGTTGGATATATAAAGACCATATCAGGTTACGTAAGGATGGGTTCTAAGCAAGGACTGACAAACTGAAAAGGTTACACATTGCATGTATGTACAAGCAGGCACAAAAACAGTAACATGTGTGTTTATTTTTCTGAAAACAAATCAATAAATAGTAAATGCTTGATACTTTGGTGAGACAGTCTCTTTTTCTTTCTTTACCTTCATTGATTCTTTGTGGATTTCACATCATGCTTTCTGATCCCAGTTATTTTTCCGTCCGCTCGTATTGACCCTCTGCCCTTGCAACGCCCCCCGTAAACAAAACCAAATTTAAAAGAAAAACCAAAGACCAAACTAAACAAAGAACCAACATAAAAATTAAAAAAAAAATAATCTTGTCACGGAAGCTGTAGTGTGGCCCAGTGAGTCACACAGTGTACCTTTTAATTCATACATCTTTACTTGAAAGTGTTCATTGCTATGAGTCATTGGTTGGGTTCGAGGCCTTTGGTTTCTGCTACATCACTGGTAATGGGTTTTCTCTGGACACCTCTTGGATATCAGGTTGTTGTCCTGTGTCATGAAGATCCTGTTCTTCTGGATTTGTAGGTTTGTCCCTTTCACATGTTTCAACAGGTCATAGATTCAGTGGCTGCTGGGTTGGGCCAACTCATAGCGCTGGTTCTGGGCCTGGGTGGTAGCTGAATTGGTCAGCTTTATAGCTGAGAAAAGTCTCTCATCATCTCTGCCCAGATGAGCTCTCCAGCACTGCCTCAGCTAGCTCACCCAGCGCAGCCTACAGCCAGAAGCACGACCAGTTCTCTTGCTGTTGGACCCTCAGATCTGGGTACCCCTAACTCATCACCAGGGACAGCACTATTTTGCCCTAGCAAGGTGCAGGGCCTTCTCTTCTGGTTGTTGTAGGGTGTGTCAGCTCTCCTGATCTCAGGCCCTCAGGGTCGGCTCACCTGAGTCCCCACAGGCTGGCTCAGCTTAGGGTGATGCTTTCTCATGCACTGCAGGAGAGGAGGAGACTTAAGAGAGGTCATTTTATAGCTCTATCCTTCCTTTTGTTTCTTTTTTCCCCCTAATTTATCTGTAGAGGCCAGAAGCAGGTGTCAGACTCCCTCAAACTGGAGTTAAAGACCGTGTGGGCTACTGTGTGGGTGCTGGGAATTGAACTCAGGTCTTCAGCAATAGCAGCCAGTGCCCTTCAGCACTGAATCATCTTCCCAGCCATACTCTATCTTATATATATAGGTCGCATGTTCTTAATTGTTAAAAAATGTCAGAATTTATCTTAGTACAATCAATAACAACTTTTGTCTTTAACTCTATATTGAAAACACAAAACCAAGAAGATTTAAAAATATTTATGTCATGACTTTTTCTGGACTTTGATCAATAGATAAAAGTATAGCATTTCCTTTCATTTTGACTATCATATAAAGTTCTCAAAGTTTTATGCAAGTATTTTAACATCTTTTTCATACTTTTTAGACAAGCATCACTATTGTCTCCATTTCACTTGCAAATTGCTGTGTGATGTGAAGAAGCCACTTCAGGTTTAGATGTTCTATGCTGATGGAGATGTCCTTGGCGTCTTTAGCACAGGGATGTGGTAGGCAGGACATCCAGACTCCCAGTTTTCAGTGTAACAGGAATCACAACACATGGAAAGCACTTCAATGGGTACTTTTTAATTTTTTTTTTTTTTTGAGACAGGGTTTCTCTGTAGCTTGGGATGCTGTCCTGAAACTGGCTGCTTTTAGACCAGGCTGGCCTCAAACTCACAGAGATCTGCCTACTTCTGCCTCCTTGTAACATGTTGGGCCTGCTTGTTTGTGTTTTCTGTCCCCGCCTGGTACCCCACAGCCGGCAGGCCCCAGAGAAAATCAACCACACAAGAGATCTCTATAAATTATAATGCTGATTGGCCCATTAGGTCTGGCTACTTATTAGCTAACTCTCACATCTTGATTAACCCATTTTTCTGATCTATTTTAGCCATGTGGCTCAGTACCTTTTTCAGTAGGGCAGCTTACATCCTGCTGCTTCAGTGGTCTGGGCAGGCGTGGGAGGAATCAACTTCCTCCTCCCCAGAATTCTCCTGCTCTTCTTGCATCATTTCCACTTCCTGTCTGGTTTTCCCACCTACACCTCCTGCCTGGCCAATCAGCGTTTATTTAAAACATGATTGACAGAATAAAGAGAATTCTCCCGCACCACCTCCTGAGTGCTGGGATTAAAGGTGTGTGCCACCACCACCCAGCTTTTCAATGGATTCTTATCACCGAAATTATAGTCATCATTGTAGTCTTGCTACTTGCAAAATGCTTGCAGGAAAGAAAGGCTAAAGCCTCACCACGTCATGGTCATCCTTTTGAGTTTGACAATCTCATCCTCAGAGCACCTTCAATTTTTCTAGTTGAATTTTCTTTTTATTAAAAAACAAAAAAAACAAAAAAAAACTTTGAAAAGCAAAATAGTTTGGTGATGGTGGCACACACCTTTAATTCCAGCATTTGGGAGGCAGAGGCAAGTGGATCTCTCCTACTAGAGCTAGTTCTAGGACAGGCTCCAAAGCTACAGAGAAACCCTGTCTGAGGGGGAAAAAAAAGAAAACAAAAGCAAAATGAAAAGATGCTCAAAAATGCTCAAATGGAGGAAAATGCTCACTGGTGTGTCTTCAAGATTTTAATGAGGAATTAATCTTGAGAAACACTTGCTTTCTGGGAACCTTATTACCTTACCAGAACTAAACAATTTGAGGGTTTTTCTAATGGTTTCAGTCACAAGAACTTAGTACATCTTATGAGATCGTCATTCTCTTCAAATGAAGCCCCTCATGTGGGAACACTTCAGAAAAGTGCAACAGAAGGACGAGATAATTAAATTTTTAAAAAGATTTATACTTTTTTTAGGTGTGTGTGTGTGTGTGTGTGTGTGTGTGTGTGTGTGTGTGTTTCTATGTTTGGTTATGCGCACAAAAGTGAAGATGACCAAAGAGGAGAAAGAGAGTATCAGAATCCTGAATCTAAAGTTACAGGTGGTTTCAAGAGCCCAACATGGGTGTTTAAACTGAATTCTGATCCTCTGCAAGGCAGTGAACACTCGTAACTGCTGAGAAGTCTCTTGAGCCCCAAGGGTTCATTATTTCAGTATGGTTCTGTCTTTTTAAAAATACAACATACTATTTGACACAATTATGCCAGTTTGTCAACATTTTCAATTTCCTCACTTAAATTTGCTGATGATCCTTTGGCTATCAGATCTCTTCAGATCTTTTTCTTTGTTAAAAAGAAGGTGAGTGAACCATCTTGTTGCTCAGAATATAGAATTTTGAGATGGAAATTATGATTTTTGTACAGGAGCAGAGCCATCTTCCACTCATAGTTAGAGCCATACTCGCTTCCTAGAGAGACCTGGGAACCAAAAATAAAGGATTCAGGTAAAATTCACAAAGCATTCTGGTAGAAAAAAAAAAAAAACCTAGAATTCCCTACAAAAAATAACAGGCATAATATAGCCTCTTTGCTTCATAATCAGAGATTTTACAGGGTTTGGGGGCAAGAGAGTAGCTGTAGAGACAAGTACAGGTATTTCATAACATAGTCTACTACCAGCTACTGCTTTGTGTATTCTTATTTATAATCATTTCATAACACTTTCCAGATTTCTTTTCCATTCATGAAACTTTCCAGAGGGCTCAGAAAGCAAGAATGAAAATTCAGAGCTACTCATAGATATGAAAACAAATAAAATATGGAGATAAGTAATTAAACTACATAAAACCACCCATTTCATAAGAAAACCACGTATGCAAATTATGATTCAGTTTTGACCGGTATCATAATTCTTGGCACCAAGAGAAGCCCCGGAGTCACGTAAATGAATTCAGAATCACTTTTTGCTGGCTTTCTCCACAGAACTCACTCCCTTCTTTCCCTTGAAGTCCTCTGTGCAGCAGCTGTCTGTCCCCAGCTCTGGAGTGGCAAGAACCCAGGGCATTCCAGGCTCCCTGCTGCGTCCAAACCACCCCACCACTACCACCCCCTTCTTAGGTTTTCAGACCTTTGTGACTTCTCAAGTATGTGGCCCATCTGGATGCCACATTCTCAAAACTGAAAGCCACTCCTATCACTCTGGCTGAGTTCCACCCGGCTCCACACCCAGATACTTAAATTCCTTTGCAGTCCTGTTCTCAGAGACCCCTATTAATGGAATTTTACCTCAAAATCTGAAACTTTAGGCCATTTGCATATTCAGGACTGAGGATTATGCTACAGAAAACCAAGCCTTGTGTACATAGAAGGGAGGATAATTCAACAGAAAGAGGAAACCATAAAGGTCAATTTATTCCAGCTAATTTCACATTAAAGTGAAATACATAACCTGTTTTTATTTGGCATTTAGGTTATGCCACTTAGGAAATCCTATGCACTTACAATATTGTAGCTTAATATATGACATTAAGAATATGTTTCTGTATAATATTTTATTCATACACACATACACACAAAGATGATGTGGGATCCTGCTCTGTATGCTGTGAATACCATTGGTTAATAAAGATGCTACTTTGTGCCTATTGCAGCGCAGAATACGGCAAGGCAGGAGTTCCAAGCAGATAGAGGAGGAGAGAATAGGTGGATTCAAAGAGACACCATGTAGCCACAGCAGGAGACAGACCCTGGAAGCCAGACAGAACCTTATCAATAGGCTACAACCATGTGGCGATACACAGATTTATAGAAATGTGTAGCCAGGAATATACATAAGTGAATAGGTCAAGTAGTGTGGTAATTAATATAGTTTCTGTGTGGTTATTTTGAGTGTGAGTGGCTGGGAAACCAAAGAGCAGTCTCTACCAATACACAGTCTTGAAGATGAAAACTTACAAGTTTGAGAAATGTGATTTATAAGATTCATTTTAAAAGACTGATATTATTAATACATATTTTGCTTTTCCTAACATCTAAACTTGAGCTATGGCCAGGTAGGCCTAGCGGCATGTATCGGTAATCCTAGCACTTAAGAACCTTGAGTCATTATTATTATTATTATTATTATTATTATTATTATTATTATTATACTTTAAACAAGAGTCAAGAACCTACATACCATTGACAACTTAGGGACTTGGGAAGTCTTTTCCCCATAGAAAGACAAGTTTGTTTAAAAATTAACCTTGGTAGAAATGCACAATCATTTTATACATATGCAACAGATACTGCATAATTCCATTTGTTCTGACCCATAAATGCAAAGGAACCTGGCTACTTCCCAAAAACAAGCCATGCTTTGACCTGGATAAATCAGAAGGACTAAACTGTGACTTTGAGAGACATCTAATTGTCCCATGTGTAAGTCCTTCTTGAGGTCACTGATCTTTGGATGAATAACTTTGTCTTTTTGACATACCTGAGCTAGCTGGGTAGAATTGGTGGCACAATCCAATCTAGGCAGAATCTAGTCTGTCTGCTGTGTCTTTCTGCTTCAGAAAACAACAACAACAACAACAACAACAAGAGCACAGTGAAGTGAAGGGTGAAGGAACAGCTAGACATGCATGGTCCTAGACACTGAAGATTTGACTGGAAGAATATGACAAACTGAATTTCTTGGAGAAAATTTGGTGACATTTTCTCATATCTGAAGACTTCAAGAAAGAAATGAGAATAAAAGGGGAGGAGGGAGGTCCTAAGTGTTTACATGAGCCTAGGACAGCTCATCTGAGGGTGAATTTTGGCCTGAGTCCAATGAGCTGACCAGAAAGAAGAATGCATTCTCTCTGCAGCTTCTTCTCATACATGCCTCAAGAACCCAAGACTGATGACAGTGTTGGCGGTTTGGGGTCTTTGCCAATTCTCTCAACTTCTCCTTTTCTTATTTAGATAGGACTAAAATAATCTGCAATGGCCGTGCTCTCTCTAAATCCTGAATAGCCAAGCAAAGCACGAGGATATCAGGAACAGGGTATATACACACTGAGACCATGCCATGTCACGTCTCAGAATAACAATTTCAAGAGTCTCCTATAAACAAATAGCAGAACTAAGATGGACACTAACGTTCCCATGACCTTTAAAAATAACAACTTTCAACTTCTGGGACCTGATCATCTTCTATTTGGTCTAGTAAAAATGAGTAACAGCATTGCTTAGATATAAGGATAGGCTTGTGAACCATCATGGCCAGTCAAGGGTATGCCATTCACCCCTGCAGACAGCTCTATATAGCCTCAAGTGAACCTATGACCTACAGTGAAGGAATATTAGCTGTACAAGGGGTCAGAATTGACAAGAAAGTATTAAATACCTTTTCCCGAGGCACTAAAAGCACAATACACTCGTCCTTTTCAACTGACAAAAAAAATCACATTTAGGAGCAAAGCCTGTGTTCCACGAAGCAGAATTAAGCGATTCATGTAGGGAAAGTGACTGTAACATGGCTGAACTTCTGTAGCTAGCTCTCTGACTCTGGGGATGCGCCGCGCCTAGAGTCACTACTTTACAAAAGCACAAACAGTTCTTTTTTGATTTATTCTAGTTTAAGCTGCATTTCTATCACATAGCTCCAAGACCTACAATTAGCACCCCACGATTTTTTTATGAAACAGCATGTTGTAGAAATCACATAATAACAAAAACTGCAGGCTATTTTCACAGAAGGTCAATATCAATCATGCAAAATGGCCCCTTATCCATTTACTACTCCTTAAATTCACACACACAGGAAATCAGTGCCCTGTTTTCTAAAATATCTTTGAGTTCTTGTAGGGAGGTCTTCTAATTAAATCATTATACAGTTTAATTAAAATGCCAGAAACTCATTGATTTGTCAAGAAGTCAATATGCATTTTAAAGCATTAATTTTTAAAAATTAGACAGAAAATCTAGAGTTTTCTTTTTTAAAATAAAAATACAGCATGGGATCTCCAAATTTGTGGGGTAGAATTATCATGTTCTATAATTCACAGGTGGCATCTATGCATATGAATGTTGTGACATCCAGAATGGCTTCTGAGGTTTTGATTTTGTTTTGTTGATTTGGTTGGTTATGTTGTTTTTTTTTTTTTTTTTTGCTTGTTTGTTTTTTGTTTGTTTGTCTTTTTGCTTGGTTGAGTTTTTGCTGCTGTTGTTTTGAGACAGGATCGTATATCCAACTTACTATGTAACTGAGGATGAGGCTGAACCTCAAAGAATGACCCTCCTTTCCTCGACCACCAGTGGGCTAGGACTACAGGTGTGTCTCCCATGACGAGTTTGATGCCAACCCTGACGAGCAGGTTATTTTCACAGAAACAAGAGATTATTTCATATAAACGGGGGTGGGGTGGGGTGGGGATCAATCTGTCTCAAGCGAAGGTTTCTAAAGAACAATTCTAGACGATAAAATCAACTGGAAGCTGCTGCAAATACCTTGGTGGAAAAGAGCTGTGGACACAGAAGACCTCCTCTCACATAGAAGCTAAGAAAATAGGAAGGCGGAATCAGGAAAGCAGAATGCAGGAATTGTGCTAACAGAGAAGAGCAAGGTCTTACCGAGATAAGAGAAAAGAAAGGGCGGGGGGAGGCAGTGTTGGTTAAAATCATTAACAGGAAATTCTCTATAAACCTTGTTGTGCCATTTCATACATAAAAGCATGGTTCAAAAGCTCCAGCAGGTAACTAAACACATGGAAATGTACGTATGACCGAGATTCCAAGGAGGGTAAGGAAGATCAAGGACGAGGGATGATTATATGGAAAATAGCTCATTGTAGAGAAATGTCCAACATGACCATAAAAGGGAAGAGAATTTACAAGGAGGACATGAGCTTTGTATTAGCATCATCCCAGGTAGCAATATTGAAGTGACTTACTAATTGTTATTAAAGTGCTACATTGCTACAGGCGATGTCAGGAGATGGAGCACCAGGGCACTTTATAAACTCTTCCCTTCACTCAGAGTTCTTTGAGATGAGGAGCCATCTGTGAAACTGCTTGCAGCTAAATGGGAGTCTTTAAACAGCTTATCTTTTGATAATGCTGGTTAATCTGGCCTAGCAAAGAATTTTTTTTATAACATTATACATGTATATATGTATCTATGTGTATCTATGCATATACATGCATACATACTCTTGCATATTTAGATCTTAAAAGTTTCAGAAGTGTGTGATTCATAAGCAGCATTTCAAAAGAGGAGATTTAGTAATATCTTTGATTAACCCATAGTTTGCTTTTCCTAAAACTTCTGAGGAGAACTGAGTTATGACCAGGCACGGTAGCACACACCTGTAATCCTAGCACTTGAGAGACAAAGGCAGGAGAATCACTACAAACTTGACATCATTCTTATCAACACTGTAAAACCCAGGCTCAGAAACAAAACCACAGAGGACTGAGCTATGGGCTACTCCCTACACCCTTTTTTTTTC